CAGTGTCCCATTTTTCTTTCTCTTTCTTCCCCACCCTTGGCCCAGAAGTGCCTTTGCATAGGGCTGGGGTGTTGAGAAGCTTAGATCTCTCTGCACTTTCTTATGCATTGTATTAATAGGAAAATAGTGTGACTCTAAGTCCTCATATATTCTCTCACCTTTTTTGCAGAAGACATGAGGTTGGGACTGGTGCTTGTTCTTCGTGGCCTCTGAACCAGCCAGGGTTCTTATTTGGATGGTGGGTCATGACAAGGAGAATCTTTCTCCCTAGATCTGAAGCTCCAGCACTGCCATTGTACTCGTGAAAAAAAATTAATTTTTTTTTCTTTTTTTTTTTTGAGGCATAGTCTTACTCTGTTGCTCCAGGGTGGAGCTTGGCTCACTGCACCCTTTGCCTCCCGGGTTCAAGCAATTCTTGTGCCTCAGTCTCCTGAGTAGTTAGGATTACAGGCGTGTGCCACCATGCCCAGCAAATTAAAAAAAAAAAATCAACTTTCACTATAACTTGAGCTCTTATGGAGAATTCGATTTTTGTCTCAAAGAAGACTTTGAAAACTGCCAGTTTTGGTTGTAATTCCATTACCTGACGGCACAAGTGGATAATTTTTGCCAGGGGTTCAAGAGGAAAGATTCCCAGTAAGACACCCATCCCTGGGAGGCAGGGCAGCTCAGTGAATGAATCCACCTTTACTACTTGCCATGTCTTCAGTTTCCCAGGCTTGGGAGGAGAGGGTATAATGCTTCTTGGGGCCCTCGGTCTGGCCTTCACCTGGCTTAGGCACCCTCATGCCTCCGTGTGCGCCTCATAGCAAATTGGCTTCCTTGGGATTTATTGTCTGGAAAGGTTGGGCACCACTGTTCATGTGATCAAACCACGAGGGAACAGACCATAAAAAGTGCTGTGTGTGCCTGCTCAGGTATCTCTGGAAGGCAGGACCAGTGACCAGGCAGAACATGTCAGTAGCTAGTTTATGCCAGGGAGAGCCTGTTTTAGTTCATTGGAGTGGCCAGGGTCTGTTCACCAACAGTCTTGGAGAAAATGTTATAAATAACCATGTCAGTACTCTTAGCTACTGTTTACTCAAAATGCTGTGTGTGAGACACCTGGCTAACACTGCGTTCACCCCATGTGCCCCGTATTAGTGATGAGAACACAGGCTTAGCTCAGGTGGCTTCTACAAGGGGATTCAGAAGTGGCAGGAGACAGTCACACCTGTGATGCCCAAAGCCAGTGCCTGTGCCCACTCCATGCCAGATGCTCTAGCCCTCGCTGTGCTTCAGTGGCACCTGCAGATGCTGGGCCCTGCTCCAAACCTTCATGGGAATCTTGAGGGGCTGGCTGCACAGATGACTTCAATGTACAGACACCGCTGAGAACTGCTGCTGGAGAGTTGTTTGTCTTCCCTTCTGGCTTGTTTTTAAAAGTCACATTCTGGCCGGGCGTGGTGGCTCACGCCTGTAATCCTAGCACTTTGGGAGGCCGAGGTGGGTGGATTACGAGGTCAAGAGATCGAGACCATCCTGGTCAACATGGTGAAACATTGTCTCTACTAAAAATACAAAAAATTATCTGGGCATGGTGGTGCGTGCCTGTAATCCCAGCTACTCAGGAGGCTGAGAGGCAGGAGAATTGCCTGAACCCAGGAGGCGGAGGCGGAGGCGGAGGCTGCGGTGAGCTGAGATCACGCCACTGCACTCTAGCCTGGGTGACAAGAGCAAAACTCCGTCAAAAAAAAAAAAGTCACATTCTGTCTCTCTATCCCTGTGGTTTGGTAGTGACAAGACTTAGATTTGTTACCTCCATTTTTCTCGACTTGTAGGTGGTGGTTACTTCCCAGCCCAGTACCCTCCTCAGCACCAGCTGCTTTGGTTTTTTGGAATCAGATACTTGGTTTTCTTTTACCATCTCCCAGTTCATTCATACTTCCTCCTCTAGTGCCCCAGCCACACACTGTTGCTCAGCCAAGACTCTGTGTCACGTGGATTCATGGTATAACCAACTTGTAATTCCACTGTGGTTTCCCTCTGTTGCTGTTGCCCTGCCTGGCTCTGGGTGGCTCCTCCCGTTGTTGAGGGCACTCAGAAACTGCAAGATTACTGTGACCATTGCTAGAGCCAGACCTTGCCAGGCCAGCAACGCTGCCACCACAGAGAGCCTCATTTGCCTGGCCCTGCTTCCATTATTCTTCCATAGCAGGGAAGATGGCATCGTGTCCGTGGTGGGGCTGGGGGGGGTTCTGTCACCTGTATGCTGGGTGACCATGAGCAGGACATTTAATGTATGAATGTTAAATTATCTCTCTGAAAAATGGGGGTTGTCATAAAGCTTAAACGAGATAATGGTTGTGCAATTGGGAAGCTGAGGTGGGAGGGCTGCTTGAGGCCAGGAGTTGGAGACCAGCCTGGGCAACACAGTGAGACTCTGTCTCTGCCAAAATAAATAAATAATAAATAATTAGCTGTGTGTGGTGCTGTGTGCCTGTTGGGAGGCTGAAGCAGTAGGATCTTGGAGGTCTCCAGTGAGCTGTGATCACAACACTGTACTCCAGTCCGAGCAACACAATGAGACCCTGTTTCTTTTTTCTTTTCTTTCTTTTTTTTTTTGAGACAGAGTCTTGGTCTGTCGCCAGGCGCCAGGCTGGAGTACAGTGGCACAGTCTCAGCTCACTGCAATCTCTGCCTCCTGGGTTCAAGCAATGCTCCTGCCTCAGCATCCCTAGTAGCTGGGACTACAGGCACATGCCATCACGCCCAGCTAATTTTTGTATTTTTTAGTGGAGACGGGGTTTCACCATGTTTGTCAAGATGGTCTCAATCTCTTGACCTCATGATCTGTCCGCCTTGGCCTCCCAAAGTGCTGGAATTAACAGGCGTGAGCCACCACGCCTGGCCTCCTCTTTCTTTAAAAAAAAAAAAAAAATATTTCCTCCAGTCATCACTCTTCGAGTTCCTAGTATGCACACAGGCACTGTGATGAAGGCATCAATTAAGCAGAAAGCATTGCCTCTTCATTGACTGGGGTGAAATGAGAAAGCATCTTAAACTGTGAGATATTGAAGTGGCATAACTTTGAAATATTTACATGGTATTTCTGGTTGCTAATTGAGACCCACCACCCCGTACTTCCTTCCTTGTACTTTTGGGGAAGAGGTGGGCCCCATTTCAAACCTCTTTTCCTTTGGTGCTGTCCAGAAAGGAAACTGTTGTTTCTGGCTAGTGAATCATTCTTCCTGACGCTCACTTTTTAAGTGAGTTGCTGGGAGAACTTGGATGTGGAAAACGATTTGAGGTTGAACAAAGCAAGCCCTTTGCTGTCAGCTTCTTGCATGAGTGGGGACCATTTGCTTCCCACAGCCACCTCCTCTTCATCCATATTGCTGTCCCTGGACTGCGAGGGAATGCACTTCCCTTGCTTAGGGGCAGATCAGGGCTCTCCCTGGGATCTTAGACTCCATTATGCAGAAAGGGAAGCCTAATAAAAACGTTTTCTTTCCAACCCGGTTCAAATGCTGAACAGCGTTCAGTACTTAATACCTACTCACAGTACCTGTTTGTAAAACATTCTGTATATATATCCTGATGTCTATTGATGTCAGATATGTATGTCTGATGAAGACATACACTTATATCTTCTAGAGTCTTCTAGAGGTAGGCTCCTCATGTGTCTTTGCAATTCCAAAACTTACCGAAAGAAACCAAAAACTTGAGCTTCTGAAGCTGTCACCAACCAAGTGATTCAGATGTCGGGGCTGGAACACCAGCTGTTGTGGGTACAGGACTTGGCCTCTGCCCTCCCACACCTCCTGCCTCTTCTTTCTCTTCATCGCCCATCTCTGCAAGTAGAGAATGGAACTGAGGTCTCCATTGAAAAAGGGAAAGTTGGTAGCTGTGCTGACTGCAGCAGAGCTCTGACTTGGGTGTGTGTGGTTTCTGTGTGTGTTTTGTTTCTCAATGGCTATGAGACTTCTGGGCCATCAAAAATGAGAGAACTGGCTGGGCATGGTGGCTCACACCTGTAATCCCAGCACTTTGGGAGGCCAAGGTGGATGGATCACGAGGTCAAGAGATAGAGACGATCCTGGTCAACAAAATGAAACCCCGTCTCTACTAAAAATACAAAAAAATTAGCTGGGCATGGTGGTACATGCCTGTAATCCCAGCTACTCGGCAGGCTGAGGCAGGAGAATTGCCTGAACCCAGGAGGTGGAGGTTGTGGTGAGCCGAGATCGCGCCATTGCACTCCAGCCTAGGTAACAAGAGCGAAACTCTGTCTCAAAAAAAAAAAAAAAAAAAAAAAAAAAAAAATGAGAGAACTGAGGAAGGAGGCTGAGGGTGAGAGAATGAAGCATCGCTTTGATTCTGGTGCACAGAGGCACACAATCCAGCCTTAAACAGAAGGTTGGTCAGTCCTTCTGAAGGTGGCAGGAGAAAAATGGCTATGTTAATAACATCTTGTGCTGGCCAGGCCCTGGTCCCTGAATGCCCACGAGGTTGGCCTAGCACCTTCTCTGAGGAGCTTTCTACCACGATCCCCTGGGCCCCTGTTTGCCTCACTACTTGGTCCTGGCTCTCAGACTCCAGGTTCATTGTTGACCTAAATCGTGGTATCTTCCTGAGCATTTTTTTTTTTTAAATTTTGCCCCAAAAGCCTGTTGACTGAACTGTCACCAGGCTGGCATACATTCATTCATCGCCTGTGCGTTTATTTGTAGGTGAATGTACATATTTGGGATCCAGAAGTCAGTATGTTTGCTCAGAACCATGAGCCTGACATTGGCAGACCATTCTCCTCTTTATGGCTTAAATGGTGGTAGAGCTGGTAGACAGCCAATATAGCCCAGTGCGGCCTCCTGACCTCTAGCAGTGAGGGCAGACAGGTGAGATGAGGGGAAGCCGTCAGCTAAGTCTTCAGTGAGGCCAGAGAGAAAGACCTGTAATTTAAGGACACACTGGGTGACGGCCTCTGAACTAACCCAGTCCTTCTCATTTCTCCCTTACAGTTGGAGGTCCCCCTCCCCACTAAGTGCCTCTTTGCATAGCACCGGTCCCGCCCCGCTCTCTGGACCACTACAGCTAGACGGGCAATGGCGGGTCGGGGAGGCACAGCACGACCCAATGGGCCAGCCTCTGGAAACAAGATCTGTCAGTTCAAGCTGGTTCTGCTGGGGGAGTCTGCGGTGGGCAAATCCAGCCTTGTCCTCCGCTTCGTCAAGGGACAGTTTCACGAGTACCAAGAGAGCACAATCGGAGGTGAGTGGGGACAAGGGTGTCGGGGAGGGGCCTCAAGGTTGCCAAAGAAACGCTTTGACCTTGAGGAGATGGGAAGCTGCCTGCCTGCATTGGAGACTACCTGCATCTGTGGTGGCAGCCTTCTTCCTTACCTGGGCCCTGGAATCGAGTCCAGCAGCTGGTCTCCACGCCAGAGTGCCCGAAAGCATGGCGAGTAAGCATTAGCTTGGAGTGGAAAGCTAACTTCCCATCCTGTTTCTGCCTCTTCTTGATTTTGTGTGCCCTTGACTGAGGCCCTTCCACTGCCCCAGCCTCAGGGAGGGAGAGACTGGCTCTGGACCTCTCAGGCCCCTTCTTACTGTAATGGGTGGGCCATGTGCCCTGGCCTCTCCTGCTTCCAGGAGGAATGGCCTGGTAAGTCAGAGCTGGTGATAGATGGGCGTTTCCGAAGCTGACTTTCTCCTTTCTGGAGCTCATAGCCTGTTGTTGATTCTCCAGTGGTCAGCATTTAGGATGTGAGTGAGAGTCTGGCCTCAGCCTCTTGCCTTCATGGCTAGCACACACTTCAAGAAGCTGGGACCAGCGTGGGCCTTGAGTCATCTGTTCTCTACTCTTTTGGTTGGTAGGAGGTTTCCAGGCAGCTGGAAACAAATGGGCTGTGTCAGCAATCTCCCCGCTGCCTCCTCAGCACTTGGGTCAGGAGCTGGAGAGAGGAAGTAAGGCAGTGTCCCAGGTCCCTCAGTGAGCTGAGCTGGGGGAGGGCAGACCAGGAAAGCAGCCTTCTACACATAGCTATCTGGGGTCCTCTGCTGGGTCCAGGGGCAAAGGGGCCTTTCACTGTCTGTCCCAGCTCTGGGACTCCTCCTTTGAAGTATGTGTACAACCACCCCACATTCCCCTGTCTAAGAAGGAGTCACCATGTTCCCTGAAGGTCAAGTCACAGGGTGGCCATACAGGAACGGGTCTGGGTCAGAGCTGGGGGCGGTGTCTAGCTGGAGTGCCTGGAGGTGGCAGGGGTGGTTGGGAAGCTGGCCACCCAGCCTCAGCCTGGCAGTGGAATAATGTGTACTTCCCCGGCATAGCTAAGTGTGTGAGAACGTCCTCAGGAAACCCAAGGTCATCGACACCCCTAGGCTGGAGCAAACTGAGGGGTGGAGAGGTTCCCAGCTGGTCTGTTCTCCGGTGGCAGGAGGAGGAGGTCTGAGGGCACTCACCCTTCTGGGCTTGGAGTCAGGCTTCCCCTGGGCATCTCCTCTCCTGCCCCTGCTGCATTCCTCTTCAGAGAGTGCTCCTGAGACGGCTCAATGCACGCAGGCATCCCTTCTTCTGCCCTTGCCTGGGCTGGGTCTATAAAGCCTGTGCAGACCCCATACCCCAGACACGTACATAAAAATCTAAACTCCACCAGCCTGCTCGGGCCTGCTTTGGCTCCTGGGTTGGGGGTTCTCTGTGCCCATCTCAGTGGTGGGCTTCTGAGTGCCAGGACCTAGAAGCAACCGTGGGAATGTGTGGGTGGCTTCTAACTCACTCTTGCCCGTGGACGCTCCTTCTGTCTTTCAGCGGCCTTCCTCACACAGACCGTCTGCCTGGACGACACAACAGTCAAGTTTGAGATCTGGGACACAGCTGGACAGGAGCGGTATCACAGCCTGGCCCCCATGTACTATCGGGGGGCCCAGGCTGCCATCGTGGTCTATGACATCACCAACACAGTAAACATTTCCCATTGCTTCTTCCTCTGCCCTTCATCTTCTCAAAGTCCCAGGGATTGGGTTATCAAAGCCCAGATTTCAGGCCTCTTAACCCTCTGTTGCTGGCTGGAGGGTTGACAGATTTCCTATTTGGGAACATTGTGCCAGAATCTTTAGGTGGCAATGTCTTAATTTGGTTATGCCAGCTTACAAGTCTCTAGTGGGTGGCCTTGGGCTGAATGCCTTCTCTGTCCCTTTGACATTCTGTCCTCATCTTCTCAGGATACATTTGCACGGGCCAAGAACTGGGTGAAGGAGCTACAGAGGCAGGCCAGCCCCAACATCGTCATTGCACTTGCGGGTAACAAGGCAGACCTGGCCAGCAAGAGAGCCGTGGAATTCCAGGTGGGGAGATGATGGACTTGGGGAACGAGTGGAGGAAGCAGCTCCCCCTGGCCTCACCCAGGTTGCTCAGGGTTTTTGGGAAGGGCCGTGCTAGGAGGCAACAGGGAAGCTTCCATCTATTGTCCTGTCATGTCTCAAGCATGGGCCTAATGGGCATCATGGCTCCTGTCTATAATCCCAGTGCCTTGGGAGACTGAAGTAGCAGGATCACTTGAGGCCACGAGTTCGAGACCAGCCTAGGTGACATAGTAAGACTCTGCCTCTACAAAGGATATAAAAATTAGCTGGGTTTGGTGGCACACACCTATAGTCTCAGCTACTCTGGAAGCTGAGGCAAGAGGATTGCTTAAGCCCAGGAGTTTAAGGCTGCAGTGATTGTGCTGTTGCACTCCAGCATGGCCAAGAGCGAGGCCCCATCTCCTTAAAAAACAAAACAAAACAAAAAAACACCAGGTGCAGTGGCTCACACCTGTAATCCCAACACTCTGGAGGCTGAGGCAGAAGGATTACTTTAGGAGTTCAAGACCAGCATGGGCAATGTGGTGAGACCCCGTGTCTACAAAAAATACAAAAGTTCGCCAGGCATGGTGGTGTGCTACTCAGGAGGCTGAGGTGGGGAGGATCACTGGAGGCCAGGAGGTTGAGGCTGCAGTGAGCAGTGATTGTGCCACTGCACTCCAGCCTGGGCAACACAGTGAGATCCTGTCTCCAAAAAAAAAAGATGTGCTTTAGTCTCTGCTAACCCTAGATACTCAACTTTTCTTCCTGTAATTTTCCAAGTTTCTTGTCCTTCCAGAAATATGCACACAGTTTTTAATCCCTTTCTTTACAGGATGGCAGTGTGCTATACATACTGTATATGATTATTTTTTACCAGTCCCTAATAATTGCAAAAAGACTGAAAAACAGTGCTGCAGTAGACATCCACATACTTGTGTGCTTTTGTGCAAACATGCAAGTGCATTTGTAGGATAATTTTCTAGAAGTATTTCCTAGCCTAGGGATTTTGAAGGGCAGGAAGGTAGGATGGACCTAAGGAAACCTGAGTAAGACATCTGCCCATGGTTGTGAGCTGAGAGGTGCTGTGCATGACTAGGCGAACCCTGATCAGGGTAGCCTTAGGCCTGAAAACCCGTGCGTTTGTCCAGCTGATCTCTGTTATGATGAGGCACTCTAACAGGGAAGGTTTTTATCTTGGGCCCTGGCCCCTGCCGTTTCCTCTCACCTACTTTCTCACCTCCATCCAAATCAGGAAGCACAAGCCTATGCAGACGACAATAGTTTGCTGTTTATGGAGACATCAGCAAAGACTGCCATGAACGTGAATGAAATTTTCATGGCAATAGGTAAGTTGCTTCTCTCCCCTCCTCTCTGCCACACCAAAGGCATATTGCTTGTCTGCTGTCCTGGAGTGAGCCTGCAGGGTCCCTTCACCACTTTTAACCTTCTGATAAAATTGTTTTCATCCTCACCTGACTCCCAGTTGTAGATGTTAGTTATTCACCCCATAAGTTCCTGAAGCCTGGGCCAGAGTCTCAACATTTCACTCTCTGACCCTGTTGCCTACCACCCACTTCCAAGCCTGCCGTCACTACCCCTACCCACTTCCTGGGAGTTTTTAGCTCATTTGGCTCTGGAATCACCCTGCGTGGGTTGCAGATCCTGCCTGTATTCCTCATTAGCTCTGTGGTTTGGGGCAAGTTATTTTGCCTTTCTTTGCTGGAGTTTCCTAAAAACACTCAGAAGGCACCTGACACATAGAAGCCGTCAATATGTTAGTTATCACTGATGGGGTGTAAAGGCCAGAATCTGCTCCATTGGAACTCGGAGAGTTATTGGGGTACCCCCTACAAATGTACTTTCCCCCACTTCCAAACAGCTAAGAAGCTTCCCAAGAACGAGCCCCAGAATGCAGCTGGTGCTCCAGGCCGAAACCGAGGTGTGGACCTCCAGGAGAGCAACCCAGCCAGCCGGAGCCAGTGCTGCAGCAACTGAGCCCCCCTTGCCTGCCCGCTGCCCCCACCTCCTCCGCCTGAAGGACCCGACTGGAATCCACTCTAACCAATCGCACTTAACGACTCGGGCCACCACTGGTGGGGGGCACGGGGGAGGGGTCCACCATGATTTCTTCATATAATTTTGATCATAGGCTGGAGTGAGGTATTCCACCTGCACCTTTCTGTACAAATACTAATTCAATTTTAAGTCTTAAGTCACTTTTTTAATATATATGATCTGCTCTTCCCACTTCCTCCCCTTTCTACTGTTCTCTCACTTTCCCTTGCTGGGAGTAGCCATGTGCTCCTGTCCCCCCCGCCCCCACCCTTGTATACAGGGACAGTGGGGTCAGAGCAGGTACACTTTCCTTCCTGCGGAACAGCGGCCCCAGCAAGAGCATCCACATCCTCATCCTGTTCGGAGTGGTCTTGGGTTTGGGCGGTGGGCGGACCTTGGGAAGGGGCTTGGGAAGGGAGTGGCAGCTCTTCCCTCAGCTGGCTGTCATCAGGCTGCAGCTCCATCCCTGCCCCCGTCTCCCTGCTGGGGGAGCACAGCATTATCACAGCATTATTGTGACAGCCACAAACCCATTGCTCACAACCCCTCCACCCGCAGTCACCCCGACCTCTGGCTCTGAGTCCTGTTCTGACCAAATCACGATGATGAGTATTTGGGGGTGGGTGGGTAAGGGGGGGAGTGGGAGGGGACGGAACCAACTTTTTCTGTATTTTGTATTGTATGTTTTCTTCAACATGTAACCAATCAGTATCTTGTCAATATAGTCAGCCGATCGACCTCACACTTGTCTTCCTTGTCTTTCTCTGGCAGAGTTTATCAGACCATGCCCTCTTTAGTTTACTTGAAGTTGATTTAAAATGAACCACTGAATCTGGTTAAACAAAAGCTTCTCCTCAAATGTGAGGGAATGCTGGTGGTCATGGTGACCAAGAGAAAGAGGCTCTTCCTGTTAGCAGCTCCGATGGGGTAGGGGTAGGGTAAAACTGACCAGGGCTGACCAAGTTTGAAGTTGCAGGGCCTGTGTTCACTTCTCTACCTCTCCCCCTCCACTACCTACCAGATCATGCTGGGGTGACATGAGCTCTGTAGTTGATGATCAGTAGTCTGAAACACCAGAAGCAATCTCTATGGGTGTTTTGGTTGGTCTTTACCAAGCCTGTGAGGGTCTGAATCCTCTCACTCTCTTCCTGAAGAGGAAGGAATCTCAGCAGCCACTGGAGCGCTGGACTGGTCTTAAGGCCAAGGCTGTAGCCCCTTGCTTTCCTCACCACCTCTGTCCACAGCACCCCCAACACCAGATCTAAGTTGCCCCAACCCAGCTCTCTACTGGTTCTGGAATCAGGTCTGGACATTCTCAGCTCTCTGCTGCCCCCTGCTGGAGCTCCTGCTCAGCTAGGGCCACACTCCCCTCCAATTTCTCCGTGTTGGTGAGACAAGTCTCTGTCACCTAAGCTGGAGTGCAGTGGGGCCATCTCAGCTCACTACAGCCTCTGCCTCCTGGGTCTAGCCATTCTCCTGCCTTAGGCTTTCGAGTAGCTGGGATTACAGGTGCCTACCACCACGCCCAGCTAATTTTTGTATTTTTAGTAGAGTGGGGTTTCACCATATTGGCCAGGCTGGTCTCAAACTCCTGGCCTCAAGTGATCCGCCCGCCTTGGCCTCCCAAAATGCTGGGATTACAGGCATGAGCCACTGCACCCGGCCTTTTATTTTTTGAGACAGAGTCCTACTCTTGCTCAGGCTGGAGTGCAGTGCCCGGTGACAGGCAGGCTGGACGCCGCCACCCGGAAGGAACAGCCAGCCCAGGCCGGAGCAGGTGCGCGGCGGCGCTGTGAGGCGGCACTCCCCGATGACAGGCAGGCTGGACGCTGCCACCTGAAAGGACCCGTCAGCCCAGGCCGGCGCCGGAGCTGCAGCGCCATCTGTAGGCCAAGGAGTTTTCTACCGGAGGCGGGGGCCTGTGTGCACAGGTGCAGTGATGTCACGGGAGCCTGAGCAAGTGCGGTGACGTCACACGCGAGGGCTTGCCGGTTATCCGCGTGCCTTGGCGTCACCCACGTGCCTTGCCATTACCAGTGAGGCTTGGCGGTGGTCGCTTGGCTTGACAGTTCTTACTTGGCTTGGCGGTGCTGCTTTCACCGATTGGAAACCGCGGGCTTTCCTCCTGGGAGGTTGTGGTCACTGCAGTAACTCGCTACTGTTGGCCTCCGGGGGTGGAGAAAAGCGGGGAGGGGCGGGGAGGGGCCGAGGGGTCTCGGGAGGCGGCAGTCTCCGCCATGAGGAGGACATTTAGAGGTGGGCGCCCTGAGGACCAATGGCCCTCGGGCTCCCTCACCAGCTGGCGGCGCGACAGCTCGGTCAGCAGAGGGAAGCGTGAAGCGGAAATCTTCGCCCCGCCTCGGTACCGCGTCGACCCGAAAGATCTCGACGAGCTCCACAGAGCTGCCTGGCGGGGTGACGTCCCTGGGCTGGAGCGCGTCCTGGTGCCCGGAGGCCCTGGCGTGGACGAGAGGGACAATGAGAATAGGTAATGGCCAGGCGAAGGAGGCGGGTGAGCAGTCCTGTCGGGGACCCGGGCTTTCTGGTGCCCACAGGCTCCATGGCACCCCGGATGGGGGAACCTTGGAAGGGTCGGGGGCCCAGGCCTCTCCGTGAGCCAGGAGCACATATAAATGGTTATTCCTATTGCAGAAGTGTTGCAGGCCGGGCGCGGTGGCTCACGCCTGTAATCCCAGCACTTTGGGAGGCCGAGGCGGGCGGATCACGAGGTCAAGAGATCGAGACCATCCTGGTCAACAAGGTGAAACCCCGTCTCTACTAAAAATACAAAAAATTAGCTGGGCACGGTGGCGCGTGCCTGTAATCCCAGCTACTCAAGGAAGCTGAGGCAGGAGAATTGCCTGAACCCAGGAGGCGGAGGTTGCGGCCAGGTGAGATCGTGCCATTGCACTCCAGCCTGGGTAACAAGAGCGAAACTCTCTGGGGAAAAAAAAAAAAAAGTGTTGCTCTACTTTACAGGAGTTTTCTTTAAAAATATTACACTTCTCAACTATGTTTGTCCATTTAATCAATGTATTCGTCAAACACAAGCTGAATAGCTATTATACATATTATATCGCTCAGGTTTCTTCCGTCCTTAAAAACTTCATGTTTAGCTGCCCAGCCTGAGTAAGCCTGAGAGATTTAAAATTGGAGTATTAGGACTTGATCTCAATGGAAGCTTTTTCTCCCCCCTTTCAAAGAAAAGCATTTCTGGAGGTAGAAAATAGTAAAAGGTAAACTTTAACTGCCCTTTTGAAAATATATAACAGTCTTATGTACTAATATTAATCATCGGGAATGCCTGATTTACATGCATTACATAAATCTAAGTATCGAATAAAATGAGCCATGTCTGTTCATTTGAACCCTGAGTTTCTTCCTTTGGCTTAAAGTTTTTTTGAAAATCAAAGTAAGAATTATTTTGTTTTAAAAATTTGTTATGCTTTTTAATCTCAGCCCTCTTTATTCCATAGTGCTTTTAAGAACTAAAATGTACTTAAACACCAATCATATGATTAGAACTGCCCAACTGCTCTGGACCTGTTGTATACACCATATTCTACTTAACGTGGATTGTTTGATGCCCATTATTTTATGTGTCAATAAGAATTATTTAGAGCTGCCAATTATAGTTGTGATAAATTATGAATTGCAAGGAGAATCCCAATGTCAGAGTTGTTAAAATGTGAGAAAAGGAACATCTTAGAATGATAATACAGTGTTACTTCTAATCTTTAAACATACCTCAGAAGTGTGTGTAATCGTATTATTTTACTTAATCAAATTGTTTATGTTGTTAAGTAGTAGTATTATAAAAATTATAATATCTAACAGTTATTGGGGGGTTATTTGTGCTAGGAACTGTTCTAAATGCTTTGCACAGATTCTCTTTTAAGCATCATAGTGATGCCCAGAACATCACTATGGACCGCTGCTATTTTAATTCCCATTTTATTGATTAGGAAACTGAGGCCCAAAAAGGCCAACAGGAAGTGACAGATCTTAAAGTAGGATTTCACCTCGAGGTGAACTGAATCCAGAGGCGAAGCATTTTCTATTCAAATAAGCTACATTTCATTAACGTAGTGAATAATAAGAGCTGGTAAATACTGTGCTTTCTTCTCAGGAAAATTAAATACTTGTTTTAAAGACAGGACTAACATTCTATCCAGTGCTATGGATATATGTGAATCATTGTATGTTTTCAGATAGTACAGTACAATTTCCTAAAAAGCGTTTTTACTGTCATAGGATGGCTCTGCATTTCGCATGTGCCTGTGGACATCCAGCAGTGGTAGCTCTCCTGGTGGACAGAAAATGTCAACTTAATTGTTTTGACAGCAATAAGAGGACAGCTCTGATAAAGGTATATAGTGACCAAGTATTTCAGCATGAGATGGATCTGATTATGTAGAATTACTGAGAACCAGCTCGGCCATAGAGACTCCCACCCAGGCAGCACTGAAGGAAATGAGAGGCAGACGCCCAGATAGAACAGCAAAGTGGATCTATCTGTGGGGGCCAGCAGCCTTCCAAACTGAGAGGCTCAGGGGCTCACAGCATTCCAGGCTGAAGGCCCCAGGTAGGCGCTGACCCACGCATTTAATCTCTCTGAACAGGTGATCATTTTTAACAAACAGGTGTTCAGTATTTTCTCATAACACAAAACACACCAAGTAGGCAGCTGGTGCCCACTTACCACTGATCAAACAACCTAAAATGTATTCTCCATGAGGGAGCCACTGGGGCAGGGTCAGATAGCTTAAAGAATTGTTTTAACAGGTGTATGATATTTACATATTGTCCTGCCACTTTGGAATGCCCCAAGTGGTTTTCTACTGCGGTGGAGGGGGGAGCTGCTAGGTTTTCCTTGCCATTGTTCTTCCTAGAAAACAATATATTCTATCATACACTTAGCATTCATCAATATTCATGAACTTCACATTTCTCAACAGAATAAAAATGAATTCATCTCATTTAAATGTAACTCATTAGCAAAACCTCTATTTTTGAATTCCTAGCATTTGTAATCTATTTCTTGGTCTAATAATGACAGGCCGTACAATGCAAAAAAGAGGAATGCGCAACTATTTTGCTGGAACGGGGTGCTGATCCAGACCTTCCAGATATCTACGGCAACACCGCTCTGCACTATGCTGTGCATAATGAAGACGAATCACTGGCAGAAAAACTGCTTTTATACAGTACAAATATGGAGGCAAACAATGAGGTATAGACCAACCAACTTTATTTTCAAACTATTCGAAATGCTTTTGTTTTAACACTGACATATGTAGCTGTCAGTTTTCCATATTTGGAAGCTCAAGAACCCCCCGAATGAGAATATTTTGAAATAATTATCTAATATTTCAAATCTTGATACTTTTAAAGCAGCAGGAGAGGGCACAGCTTTCTTTCATGCACAGGTGGTAAATATTTTTGAAAACACTGAATTTGTAAAAGTTAATACTTAAAAATTTTTTTTCTTCCCTATTTTGTTTTTTCTAATCTGTGAAAAGCAAAATTTGCCCTGGAAATAGACTTTATCTTAAAACTCCAAGAAAAAACATTTTTCAATAAATAGAAATCTTGCTGCTATTGACAGGTTCTAAAAAAAAAACAAAAAACAAAAAACATTCAAGCAGTTTAGCTCTCAGTGGCAAAGCTTAGGAGGGCAAAATGGAAAGGGCAAAAAAAGCCAGAAATATGGAGGCCAGCTTGGAGGTTAAGTAATTGAGGGAAAATACCAAGGCGACCTTTTTTTTAATGTGTTTTGTTGTTGTTATTACTATTTCTTTTTTTCTAGTTTATATGTTTAGACAAGTTTTTCTTCAGTTTTGGGGATAATTGGATCATCATTTTCAGTTTGGAAGAGAGTGGGTTGTGAACTTGCCAATCTAGGAGGACTCTAAGGAAACACGATTAGCTGTGACTCGGTGGTGATGAGTAGGAAACAGCCACTTAGATAAGCGTCTGCACTCAGCCCTCAAATCTAGAACGCCCTGACGGGAAGGTGGGCGAGGCGGAGTTTAGAAATAGCAAAATCAAGTTGGATTTTGAGTTTACTAGTCCCTGTGCTACTCCTACCTAGGAAAACTAAATGGAGTTTTTAGTAAATGACTGTCTCTTCCTCTTTCCTTTTTTTGACAAAATCCTCAAATGATAAAGGGAACTACTGGTCATGTGGGTGAGAGAGGAGACTGAAGTAATTGTTGTTCTAGTTCTCAGCTAGAATTGTGCATCACAGTAACCTGAGGAAATTAAAACAAATCTACAAGTCTAAGCTCTTCCCTGAATACTTTTGATATAATAAGTCTAATGAAGCCTGAACAAGTTTATGTTTTAAAATATTTCCTTGAAGCCAGGTGTAGTGGTACTTGGCTGAAGTCCCTGCTAGTTGGGAGACTGAATTGGGAGGACTGCTTGAGCCCCAGAGTTTGAGTCTAGCCTGGGCAACATAGTGAGACCCTGTCTCTAACAACAGCAGTAAATTCCTAAAACTTCAGATACAGTCCTGGTTAAGAGCCAGTGAATAGATAGGTGTAATATGTAAATGCTCATTCTCAGAAACTTAAGAAATCTCTAGAGGAGTTGGAGTTTGATAGGTGCTACTTCCTTGAAATCTGTCTCTTTTCAATACTATTATCCTGACTTTATCTTTCTCTACCTCTGGGTTGGGAAGTTAAAAGGAATATTATTGGTAATATCTCTCAGCTTACAGAATACCTTTTCCTTCCCAACATCATAGCCCTTCAGTAAGCAGAGGCTGACTGTTTTAGGATTTTGTCTTTGTTATCATCCAGGTGATTATTGTTTATTACAAACAGCTTAATCTTTATTACAAGCAGAGTTTTCTCGATTAGAGCTGGCAAACACTTAGCCTTTTTTTTTTTTTTAATTGAAGCTCTGTTATGGACTGTCTCAGTATCTCTGTTCAAGTTCACAGAGTTTTGAAATAATCAAGATGACAGTTTTAAGCACTGAAAAACTATGAAAAAGTAAGAGTACAAATATTGATTCTTTTAATAATTTAGTTTCAACAGTCATGGACTAATTATCCATTTGGTTAACAATCTAGGAAAAATAAATACAAGTAGATTTTAATTGAATAAATATTAGAAAAATTCTTGCAGTGTGAGTATTTTGAGCCTGTGAGCATTTTTTTTTTTTCTTTTTTAATTTTGAAGAAACAGGGTCTCACTGAGTTGCTCAGGCTGGTCTCAGACTCCTGGGTTCACGTGATCCTCTTGCCTTGGCCTCCCAGAGTGCTGGACTTGCAGGTGTGAGCAACTGTGAGTTTTAATAGCAATTTTTATTACACGTTGGGGCCTGATTTATTTTGGTAAAACATCTGAAATTAAAGGAACTATTTTACATGTAAATACTTTACACACAACCATTTTGAAACACATCTATAACAAGTGTAAAAACACAAGGGCTGTAGTCAAAATGTGGCCCACAGATACGTTTAATTTGCCTCCACAAATTGTGTCAATGTGTAAAATTTAGGAGACTCATGCACAAATCTGGATTTCAGGCTTCTCTTTAAGAATCAAGCCTGTTGTCCCTTGAGCCCATGTCACTGTTCGGTGTGCTGCAACTAGGTTGCCCCTTTGTATGAGGTATATGTTCTCTGGTTTGCTGCTGCGCCCACCTAGGTACTCACTCAGGTCACTTCCTTTGCCTTGGTAAGATTTGAGTTTACGGCTCCTGTCATGGCATATTTTGATAAAGATTTGAAGTTTTTCAAAACAGTTTATATTTGTTTATAACATATAGTCTATATTTTATAGATATCCCTTAGCAATGGGGTTGAACTTTAGGGTTTGGAAGTTGTTTTTTAAAAACTCTTTTGTCTATAGCTACCACAAAGAGTCGCCTTCCCATTAGCATGCCTGTAAGCCTGTTTGGGTTATTCCTGGCTATAGGTGGCTGGGCTATTCATATTGCAAAAAAAATTACATTTTTCTCCTCAGCATTGTCCCTTAGAAATGCAGGTGACTTAGTGGCTTTCATTATTATAGAAACAATCCAGATAGATCGGTATTAGATAGTTTTATTGATAAGCCATTGTATTTGTATTTCTGATTTACATTTTGCCTAAAATGAAAGATAGTTTTAAGAGGCAATAAATATGGAAACAAAATTAACAAAGAATTTTAACAGTAGATGTGCATTAGGGCCTTAGGATTATAATTAAGAACAGAATTTTATACTGTGCTTTCTAACATCTAAGATAAAAATCTCTCTTCTTGTAGCAGGAGAAAACCCATGAGCCTTTTAATAATCAGCAATGGAAGTTCATTTGAAGCTGATTTCTGTAATTCACAGACCATTTTCTTAGTGACCCATTTGTAGTAGAAGGGCCTGACGCTGGGCACTGACATTGGGCATCTGGGATCCTGACACCACTGATAGAAGAGAATTAAGCAAGTTTGTATAACCTGGAGGAAACACCCACCTTTACTGGAACGCTCTCACCACTGTATTCCCGAAACTCTAAATCCTCAAATGTTAACGTTTGCCACAAAGAAAGTATTGCCAAATAGGAATTAGGCAAAATTCAAGAGATTTCTTAAATACTGGATATATAATGTGCTGTTTAATAATATTTCCCAAATGTAGATGATCATGGAATCTTCCTGTTGGGGTACAGTCTATAACTTCTGGTAAAGTAAATATTCTTTGGAATGAAGTTTAAGAAACACTGATCTAAAGGCAAATATGTTAGATCATTAATTTAGTAAAAATACTCGAAGCATTTACTGGTATGTCTCAGGGATTGGAAATATGGAGATAAATACAGAGACATATATAGTGATAAAGAGCCTGCCCTCCAAGAAGCTCTTGTTTACATGGGAAGCAATACCACCATTCCGATATTCCATGCTAAATGCTGTGATAGAAGCAAAGATTTTTGGAACCAGTAATATTTGAAGGGAGTTTTGGAGATTAGAGTTGATGTGGTGAGGCAGAGGAGGGTGGCCTCTAAGGGAAGGAGCAGCAGATGGGAAAACACAGAGGAGTGAGAAGGAAGAGGCTATTTTTAATTTACTTTCTGTGTTATACATTTAAGTCTATAGGATCTTATGTGAGGTTGCCAGTCCATTGAGAAATAAGAATTTTGTGAATTGTAAATTGTTGTTGGTGTATTACAGGATGACCTCACACCACTTCTATTTGCCATAAGCCTAAAAAGACAGCAAATGGTAGAACTTTTACTGGAGAGAGGAGCAAATTTACTTGCAGTTGATAAGTGTCAAAGGTATGTTCTTTTTTTTTTTTTTTTATATATCTATATTTTTATATTGGGGGGGAGGGAGTAGAAAAGAAAGCAGCCCCTATACTGGGCCCTATTGAATGGCAGCTTCTTATTCCATAAGGTTAAGGAAGACTGAGGAAATAAAAGTTGTTTGGAAAAATCCAGGTGTAGTTGCTTTGTATGTTGTGATGGGTAGAAGGGATGAACTGAAGTGTGAAGGCCCCTCACACCCTCCATCTTGCCTCAGACTATGTCCTGGAATCCTGGGACAGAGAAAGCGCCACTTTCATTCCTGCTTCTTGGGATTGTTGACGGCCACGTAGTGATAGAGAACGACAAGCAAGAAGAGCGACACACCCAGCATGTTGGCGAAGATGGCGAGCTGCACGTCCGTGATCATCCTGACCAGTCCGGCTCGGCTCCGATGCCGCCTGCGAACAAGCCCGAGGTAGGACGGTATGTTCTTTTTTAAACCCTCAGTGTTAACCCTCAGTTTTGTTCTGGAGTGAAAACAGTCAAGTCAGAAATATTAAATTAATAAAAAGATTAATAAAATTATTGGGATATAGTAAAAAATATAAACAAATCATCTGGTGGAAAACTATTTGGACTGGGCGACATGAACAGTGTATAGTGGGATTCATCTTCTCTTCTTATACTGACTGGTGTTTGTAATTTAATATTTTGGGTCATATGATCTTGTATTAGCTACAGAGGTCTCCTATTAGTTTATTAGTTTTATGGAGTGTGGACTTTCTATTTTTACTTTATCACTCGATACTGAATTTCTTAACCCTTTTATTGTAGTTTTTAATCTCTCCTTACATGATTTTCTTTTAAACATGCTATGTTAAGTAAACATGAATAGAGATAAAAATAATTTTGTCTTTTGGATAACTCTTTGCTTTCTTTGAAGAATATTAATGTTAGATTATCTCTACATGACTGTTAATTGCCATTACCAGATATGTGGGTTTCCTTTTTCACTTCTAATATATTTTGATGTTTTTTAAATTGGTATGGGCAGAGGGAGAAAATACAGTTTTCAGGGGATAAACTTTTTCTTTCACGAAGACAACTCATAGGTGGATGATAAAGAGAAAAGAGTTAGGCTTCAGATTCATACAAGACTGAGTTTAAATTTCTAGCTTTCCCATTTGTAGGTGTGTGACCTTGGGAACATTACTCATCACCAAATACGTTTTTCTGTATTAAAAAGAGGATACTACTATATCCTTCCAGGGTTGTGTATGTAAGAAAGATTGTGTGTGCAGCATTTAATTCAGTGCCTAGCACATGCCTATCAGTATCAGTAACTGAAACCACTGTGACTACTAATATTACCATTTTTATTGATATTTTTGTTTTTCAGCCTGCAGATAGCTCTCTTATCTGACCCCTGGCTGATTTTGAATCACAGCCTATCAGGCTAGGGAAGCAGTGGTGAAATCTTCACTTAAATCTTTGCCTACTTTAGATAAGTGACCTGAGCATAGTTGCTTGCTCATCAGGGGACTGAAAGTTAGTAACTTCTACTGTGACATACCCCATTGGGACAAGAGACTTCCTCTTTGTCCCTTCCTTTTAGCCTTGGTGGTAATTTACAAAGATGAACACTTGAGCACCCAAGATTCTGGTGTCTGTTAGTACAAGTAAATGTTTAATTCTACATGGATGGGCAAACTATTAAGTTGGTAAAGTATATTGAATAAGCTTTTTAAATAGCTTTTTACAGTTCCTAAGGGAGAAGTTATCACTCTGTCATTTTAGAACAGCCCTCATTCTCGCCGTGCAATGTGGATCAGCAAACATAGTTAGCCTTCTTCTGCAGCAAAAAATTGACATCTTTTCTCAAGATATGTTTGGGAGGACTGCAGAAGACTATGCAATTTTTAATCGGTTTACTGGGTAAGTGTTTACATTAAAAGGCTAGTTAACACCAAATTGAGGTTTAAAATAATTATAATGATTGCATTGTATACATCAGGTGAGATTTTATAGTTTGGTTCAGGTAGTTTTGGAGTGGCAATGAATTAGTCCACGTCATTAGCCTGAAATCCAGCAAAAGGCCAAACTAGTTAAAAGTAGCAAAGGGTACAGGCTTCTTTATCTCAGGACTTTTAAGACCTTTATCCTTAGGGATCCCAGCATTGTCCATTTCATTCCAAGTGTAACCCCTATGCATGAGATAAAAAATAGTGTCACAGCTTAGGGTTTTCTAATTAGGTATTTGGGTCTTGAAATGTCCAGTTTAGCAGAAAATTTTGTACTGTCTTCTGGGAACTGTCTCCTCTACCCTCTTCCTTGAATTTTTTCAGAACCTATGGGGTTCTTTAAGTTTCAGATGACAACCCTCTTTTGCAAGTCAGAAGGAGGGAAGAAAAAGTTCACTGTAATCATCCTGTTGTTTCCGCTGTTGTTTCTGTTGCTGTGTCATTGCATTGAAACTGGTCCTGCAGTCCAGTAATGGTTGACCTTTGCCACCAGGATGCCCTCAAGTCTTCATGGTGATCCATACATAGATTTCAAAGTTAAACTTTTTTTGCTTCACATACATATGTTTATATGCTGAGGCATTGTTCCCAACATCCTGCTCTGGCAGCTGAGCCTCCTAGCATTATCCACACACATAATGAGCCAACTGACCCTTCACCCCTCACTCAGAACCTAGGTGGAGCCAACATCTTAGCTTAGACTTAGCCAAGACCTTTATGTTAAGTTACCCTTTAGGCCTTCGGGTTCAGTTCAAATAATGTTGCAGAAAGAGATGAGTTTCCTTTTTTCACTGCTACCAGATCTGTACACTGAGGGCCCTGTATATCCAGTATAGTACCTTTTCTTAGATCATGGAAGGTCCCATATTATCCTTCCCAAGAGTTGTGGCAGGAAGCCATCACCAGAATTCAGAGTCTCAAGTATGTTAGTTGGATTTAACAGAGCTAAGCCTCATTCATGACTCATGAGTATCCATGCATAAAAGGAGAGTTTTGTATTTGCTTCAGCAGCAAACATATACTAAAATCGAAACAAAATGCAGAGAAAATTAGCATGGCCCCTGCATAAGGATGATGCACAGATCTGTGAAGTGGTCCATATTTTGCACCGTCACTGGAAGTTCATTTGACTATTTGCTGACTAGCTCCAAAGAAACGGTGTGAGTTAAAGCAAATTGGGTGTAACCTAATATTAAAATTGTGATTTTTCACTACAAAATATGAAATAAGGTGGTCTATGGAATGAGAATCAAGCTGAGTAACATGTGGGATGTGTGTGCAAATATATTGTTAGTATGTATCACAGAAATGAGAGAATGTCAACTTGCATCTCTTTCGTGGAACTGAAAAAATAAAAGTAGAATTTTGTTTTCCATGTCAGTTGGAGGTTAACATGGGGATTGAGCAGCATTCTAACAAAGATCTGCCAATTCAGTTTGAGTTTGGAACAGTACCCCAAGCTAGGTCTTGACATCTGTTAGCTTTCTGCCCTTAGTGTGATTGATGAGTTCAGTCCTAGTGGACAGGGATGTTATCTAGTTTGATGAAATAATATATTTATAAGAAAATTTATTTACAAACTATGAAATAGTTGTGATGCCCTGAATTATAAGCCACAAAGAATGGAACAACTGATAAGCAAAAGTAGGACTTAACAGTTTCAGAAAACTGCAATGGGAATTTTAGAACCTCAAAAAATACACATTGGGAAATAGTTTTGGCAATTAAGTTCAAGAACAAATTATTTTATTGCTTCACTGTTTATTTGAGCATTTTCAAAACATTATTTCATTAAATCTTTAACAACCTAGTGAAATAAGCCAGTAAAATCCTTGCTTTTTAGAAGAATACATTGAGCCTAAGAGAAGCGACTTGTCAGAGAACAAGTAGCTTCTGGTAATAGAGCTAGGACACTTTCCATTATGTCAAGCGAATGTGAGTTAATTTATACTGAGCTATACTCCCTTCAATTTAGGAGTACTTCATCTGTTTTTTTTCTTTAAAAGCTTAAAGAAAAGTTGGTAGAACTCGCAAATTAGTATATAGGATAAAGTTCTGATATTAACTCTGATATTGTTTGAAATACTCTAAAAATTTAATATATTTGGTATTTTTCATTTGTTTTAAAACAGTAATTTCATTTATTACATTTTTATCTATAGCATTCAGCAACTAATTGCTGAATATAAGGAAAAACAGACACCTGAAAGTCTTCCTCAAAATAACAATCAAGGTAAGACTTCTGATAGTGAATTATTTTTGGTGGTCCTATAGATAAAGAAGTAAGAGTAAGGAAGTTTTGATCATGAAACTTTTAAAAGTTTTTTAAAAGTCCTGTGTGTGTAAGTTGCTCGTATATTTTTCTCTTAATTTCTTTCTTGGTAGGTTAGATTTCACAATTATTTAAAAAGTTAATTGCAGGTCATTTATTATCTCAAACAATCTTGTCTGAAAAAAAATTATTCAATTATGGTCCCTAAAATCCTATATGCTATATTTGTATAAATAAGAAAAAGATATTTTTAAGTTAGTAAGTTGTATGTTTTCTTTATGGTCATATTATAATGAATTACACTTGTTATGAAATTGGAACTTCTACTTAATTTTTAAAATAAATGGCTGTCAATCACAGTTGACCCTTAATAACGTGGGATTTAGGGATGCTTGGTCCCCTCTGCATTCAGAAATCTGTGTATAACTTTTGACTCCCCCAAGAAGGTGACCAGCAGCTTATTGATAACATAAACAGTCAATTAAGCTGTGTTTGGTGTGGTGTATGTATTAATATGCTGTATTCTTACAATAAAGGAAGCTAGAGAAATAAACTGTTATTAAGAAAATGATAAGAAAAAGTAAGTATACTATTCATTAAATGCAAGTGGATCATTATATAACTCTTAATCATAGTCTTCAAGTTGAGTAGGCTAAGGAGGAGGAGAATGATTGGTCTTTGCTATCTGAGGTGGGAGAAAATCTGCCTATAAGTAGACCCCTGCAGTTCAAACCTGTGTTGTTCAAAGGCTAACAGTATTACATAGTGATTTGTGTCACGAAAGTAACACAAAGTCGTTTCAAAACTGGAAAATCAACAATGCCTTTCTGGTACCACAAACAAATGGCAATAAGAACTGTAAAATGGCCAGGTGTGCTGGCCCACAGCTGTAGTCCCACACATTGGGAGGCCTAGGCGGGAGGATTGCTTGCGTCGGGAAGCTCCAGACCAGCCTGGGCAACATAGTGAGACCACATCTCTACAAAAGCAAGTAAAAAATTAGCTGGGTGTTTTGGTGCACACCTGTAATCCCAGCTACTTGGGAGGCTGAGATGGGAGGATCACTTGAGCCTGGGAGTTTAGGCCGCAATGAACTATAATTGTGATAATGCCACTGCACTCCAATCCAACCTAGAAGACAGAGTGAGACCCTGTCTCCAAAAAAGAAAAAAACCTGCAAAACATATCCAGTGTGCATACTAATAGGAAATTATTTTTAAAGACACCTACTGAGTGTAGAAGTCAGAAAAGCAATTCCTTGTTGAGAAGTACAGGTCATGTTACATACTTATAAACCAACAAGATCTCACTATTATTGACTTTCCCCCTAATTTGAAATCGAATGAGGTATATTTACTTCATTAGAACAAGATGTGTTCTTCTACCTGCTGGTTAGTTATGATAACAAGAATTTTGTTAGCACAAGATATCCTGTTACCATTAGCCAAAAGATTATCATAATAAATATTCAAGTAGCCCAACTCTAGGCTCAACAAATTATAATAAAAGTATAAAAATGTTTCACAATAACAAGAATGCTACTGTGCTACTGAGATGTGATGCCTCATGCATTGGACAATCTGAATTGTAAGAGGACACCTTTAATTTAGTATATATTAATCGAAGAACTATAAGTTAGGTTTTGCAAGTTACTGGAGACAAACATGAAATAGACATAGTTTTAGTTTTTGAGGTGGTCATAATAGAACTGTCTCTATTTAATTTCTGTGTTTTTTTCAACAGAATTTTCAAGGAAATTATTCACTTGGCCACTTAACAAATAATTATCAAATGTCTGTTAGATACTAAGCATTTTTTTCTAATGTTACAGAATACAAACATTTAAAAATATAGCCAGGGCCAGCTCGGTGGTGCATGCCTCTAATCTCAGCAGTTTGGGAGGCTGAGATGAGAGGATCACTTTAGCCCAGGAGTTTGAGACCAGCCTGGGCAACATGACAAGACCTCATTGCTACTAAAATTTTTTTTTTTAATAATAAAACATGAGCTGGGCACAGTGATAGGTGCTTGTGTTTTTAGCTACTTGGGAGGCTGAGGTGGGAGGATTTCTTGAGCCTGGGTGTTTGAGGTTACAGTGAGCTATGATCATGCCACTGCACTCCTGTCTTGGTAACAGAGTAAGACCCTGTCTCAAAAAAGAAAACAAAAACAAAAACAAAAAAACCCCCGGAGCTTGTTATCATTGTCATTTTATTTATTTGCTGAATTATTTATTCAGTGCCTACTACTGCTGTGGGCTAGATGCCCTCTGAAGCGTATAATGATCATTTATTGTGTTAAATATGTGCCAACACTTTATGTGATGAGGAGTGAAAGCTGTAAAACAGTGGGTAGGATTTAAGGTAAGCATGCAGAGAAAGTAGAACTTTACTAGGCAAAGAGGCAGAAGGATGATGTGGGCAGAAGGAACATCTAACAAGATTGTGTGTTTGGCAGAAGGAGCAGCAAGTGCAAAAATCAGATGCTTGAATGAACTTTGCAGGGTTTATGAGCGGTTCAGTTTTGCTAGTGCAAGTCATGTAAGATGTGAATGGTTGGGAATGCAGTGAATACCTAAGGCAAGCTTACGACAGACATCTTTTTCTTTTTTTGAGACAGTCTCACTCTGTCATCCAAGCTGGAGTGCAGTGGCATTCTCTCAGCTAAGTGATTCTCATGCCTCAGCCTCCCAAGTAGCTGGGATTACAGGTGTGAGCCACCATGCCCAGCTAATTTTTATATTTTTAGTAGAGACAGGATATTGGCATGTTGGACAGGCTGGTCTTGAACTCCTCGCCTCAAGTGATCCATCCCCCTTGGCCTCCCAAGTGCTGGGATTAGAGATGAGCCACCACTCCCTGCCCAGACTTTTTAATACTGTAGAAATGAGTAGATCTTTTCCTGTAGGCTGTGAAATTTGCCAGGTGGAATGCTTTGGGCTGCAAATACTAGATGACCTAACAGTGGCTAAAACAGTAGGGACCAGAGTTGTTTTGACTGTTCAGTGACATCACAGTGTTTTGTTCATGTCTCTTTTCATGGCTGGCTAATTAGCAGCAGCTCCAAGCATCATGGTCTCACTGACAATATCTGAAGGCTGAAAGGGTGGCTTTTGTTTACATGTTTCTTTCAATTAGAGAGAAGACTCGGAAGCATGCAGTGGACTTCCTGTAACATTTTATTGGCTACTACATGCTCATTCCTAAACCAGGCACTGGGAAAGCAAATGTAATTACTGCGATAAGCTTAGAATAATCATTTCTTCTTTCTTTGGAGTTGGGAGGGCTATTGGCCTGATAAATATCCAAATAGACATGTGTTTCTCCAGCAACACAGAGTAGGGAATCGGGTAGGGAGACAGCAATGTTTACTGTAGGGGTTCATTGGAGAATTGTGAGCTGGGAGTCACACAATTAGATTGGAGTATTAGGGCATTCTGGTTATGGTATAAAGCAGGGATTGGAAGCTTTTTCTGTACAGGGCTTTTTCGTGGTCTCTGTCATTCCTACTCAACCCTGCCATTGAAGTATGAAAACAGTCATAGATAACAGGTAAGCAAATACGGATAACTGAGCTCCAGTAAAACTTTATTTACAAAACTATAAGGCAGACTGGATTTGGCCCATGGCCTGTAGTTTGCTGACCCCTCATATAGAGGGCAGCTGGAAGATAACCATATAAAGAGACAGGGAAACAAAGGAAGCATGCAATTAGCAGAGCTATAGTTTCCTTGTCCTGTCCTCAGTCTAGTAGCAGTCTGTTGTGAGGTTTTCACCCAGCCCTGGTGAAATCAAGAAGATTAAGGAGCTCAGTTACTCATTTAAAAATGTTGGTCTCAGTCTTGGCATGATGCCTTTTTAATTTATTTTACTTAAACTTTTTTTCCATTTAAGAAATAATAGTTGTTTTTTCCCTATAAAAGCCACTACTTAAGAACCCATGTTTAACTAGGAAATATAAGCATAAAATAAACGTGTGGCAGTGGAAATATAAAGCAGATGCAGAAAAGAGGTACAGTTAAAATTATTTAGTGATTATTGACTGTAAAAAGATAGGGGATAAGGAGAAATCTCAGATGATTCTCAGGTTTCTGGCTTGTGCCCTCGCCCCTAACCGGGACATGAAGGAGTAGGCAGTTTTCAGGTGTGTAAAGGAGAGCAGCAGGTCAACAGGCATGACTAGCATTTCTCTCAGCATTGTTATGTTTACTGGAATGTCCATGTAGGATATTTTTAGTAAGTAATTGGATAATAGGCATTTATGGCTGGAGATGGAACTCTGAGGTTGGAGATGCAGACTTGGAATAACAGGCAAAATCATAGATCTGAGTGAGCTTATCCATGATGGAAAAGGTATAGAATGAGCAGAGGGCCAGTGACAGGAATATCAGCATTTCCCAGAGGAGTTAAGAAAGAAGCCTGAGCAGTGGCTAAAGAGAAAGAGGAGAGGAATCAAAAGGGATGTTGCAAAAACTTACAAAGGTGAGAATTTCAGGGAGGGAGTATAAATTCTAACCAGTAAGATTACTAAAAAGTCAAGTGAGTTAACCTTTTATAAGCTCTTCAGTGGGCTGGGCACGGTGGCTCACACCTGTAATCCCAACACTTTGGGAGTCCAAGGTGGGCAGATCATGAGGTCATGAGATGGAGATCATCCTGGCAAACATGGTGAAACCTGTCTCTAGTAAAAATACAAAAATTAGCTGGGTGTGGTGGCCCATGCCTGTAGTCCCAGGTACTCAGGAGACTGAGGCAGGAGAAGCACTTGAACCCAGGAGGTGAAGGTTGCAGTGAGCCAAGACCACGCCACATTCCAGCCTGATGACAGAGCGAGACTCTGTCTCAAAAAAAAAAAAAAAACAAAACAAAACAGAGAGAAAAGCTTTTCAGTTGTACTCTCTTCTAAAGAACAATCATAGAGTTGCAGGGTTGACTGATTATATAATCAGTACTTCTGGGGTT